GCGAGTTCTTTTTCCGCATCCTCCTCACCTGTGAACCTTTTTTAAAAAAACGTTTTTATATTGAATTCTCCCTACTTTGTATATGGAGTATACAAAACAAATAAACATGCCGACACGTTTGCCTTTAATCCAAAAACGTTTTCCCTGTAAAAAGAAAAAAGGCAGGGAAATAAATTAAACAAATAATAATAATAAAAGTAAAAAATATATATATATGCATGATAATCAAATCAAGTGCACATAGATAATATACAATATTACTATAAAATTAGCGATTAAATATACAAATAAAAGTACCTACTACCTAATGCAAGACTAATATATCACCTGTTTTTGTCTTAATTTGTCCTGTGTTCACAACATGAAGACGAATAAGCAGCCCTGCCTGTGTCCTTTCTGTGTGTGTGCGTGGGTGGGAGCACATGTGTGTGGGCATGTGTGTATTTACAGTATATTCATTTCATTTAAATCCTTCCTGAATTTGTGTTGCCGTGGTAACACAGGCAATGATGCAGTGTTGAACAGGGAGATGTTTAAACACTTGGACACGGCTCATTGGGGGCGATGAAAGCTGTATTTCACTGCACAGGGTGACATTTTTAATATATTATTTAGTGGGAATGCTGATACAGCATTCCAACTACTTGTTCTTCTACGGACAAATTCTTTATTATTATTATTCTGCCTGTTTTTTTGCGCCTCTTTTGCTCCCACATTCCACATCGCAGAAACTCCATTCAAACATCAAAACGTTCGATCGGGAATCAATGGCTATTACTTTTCTCATTCATAACTTTCATAATTCCCGAGATATATCCCATAATTCATCAAATCTTTAACATGGAAGTCAATGGAGAAACTCTTCAGACTTCAAAAATCTTCATGCGACTTCAACTGCTAACTGTTCCTTCATACTTTCACTCAGAAACCTCATTCCAACTTTAAAATGTTACACATCTTTCTGACATTATTTGTGTTACAAAACTTTTAAATCTGATTCTTACTTTTAGAGATATTAAACATTGTTCAGACCTTGGTAAAGAGGCCTTCTTCAGCTTTAACATTAGTGTGTATTGTGCAGCTCGTTAAGGCTAGAGTGTGTGATGTCACAACTAGAGTGGAGGACAGCTTGAAATTTGCCTTCATATTTTTTTTTTAAACCTGCCATAATTCCCAAACCCTACACTCCTGAGACATAATTTTTCATGAGGAATGTAGGAAAACATCTCGTAGCTTGAACAATTTAAAAAAATGAAGCAAAAATAATTAAACAAAATGCCTCTTGAGGGCATGAAGTGACAAAAACTTTCAACATGTCTCCATTAAGAACCATTGTCAATTCAAGCTGATCTTTCCTCACAGCAGCAGCCGCACACCTTTAGTTAATCTGCCAAAAAGGCCACATTATTGACCCGAAAGTACACAAAAAGCACACTTCAGATGCTCAGGGTCCTTGAGATGCTTCACACGTTGACATTTTTATCTCTCATTCAGAACAATGGAAAGGCTCTCCTCTCACTGATTACTGCACATCACCATGGAAACCTTTGATCTCTGGGCTCAAGCACAGGTGTTTCATGACGTCGTTAGCTCAAATATAAACACCTGTGTCATGGAACACGATGATGTCATAACTCCAACTGACATGCTCAGAACGCCACAAAACATCACATGATGGTTAACACTGTGGCCCTGAACAGCTCTACATCAAATCTGATGTTACGTAATGTGGTATTACAATGGCAATGCATCCCTCGCCATAAAACACGATGTCGCTGTAACTCCTTTGAAAATCGTAAAAACAGCACCAGACTTCAGATGATGGTTAATGGTCCGGCCCTCAACAGCTCTATGTCAATTATGGGGTGTCATCATATGCCGTTTCCATGGAAACGCATCCCTCGCCATAAAACACGTCGCTGTAACTCCAATGGACACGGTCCGATCGTCCCCCAAACTTCGTTTGTATATCACCGGTCCATGCCTCAACAGCTCTACGCCAAATCTGAGATCTCACCATATGCCGTTTCCATGGAAATGCATCCCTCGCCATAAAACACGATGTTGTCGTAACTCCTATGCAAATGGGCAAAACACCACCAGACTTCAGATAATGGTTAATGGTCCAGCCCTCAACATGTCTATGTGCCAATAGTGAGTTTTCCTCAAAAGCTGTTGCCATGGCAACACATCCCTTGCAATAAAACACGATATTGCTATAACTCCTATGAAAATTGTCAAAAAGTGCTCAAACTTCACGTGTGCAAACAGTCCAGCCGTGAAGACATCTACGTGACAGTTTTTAGATTTCTTCAAATCCCGTTGCCATAGCAACACAATGCTCGCCATGAAACAAGGTTTTCTCTAACTTCAGTGAAAATGCTCCAAACGGCCCAAAACTTCACAGGTTTGGTAACGATGTAGCCATCAAGACATCTAAGCGTATTATGGGGTTTCATCAAATGCCGTTGCCATGGCGACAGATCACTCGCCATCAAGTTAGTTCAAAAGTTTGCATTTAAAATATTCTGCTGCTTTTCCAAGCCTTTTTACTTTATTTTCTTCTCTTATCACACATTCCACCCCCCAGTGTTCATGTATTATTTCAATCTAAATTCTTCACTTTCTTCTTACACATTACATTTCAGCAGTTTAGCGTCAGCTTTTCAGCATAAAGCATTCCCACTAGCAATTTCTTCAGTAATTGCATTCTCTAGTTATAGATGATATCAATTAAAATAAAACTAAATCAACTACCCAGAACAAATTATTGTATACAGTAGATAGAGTTGTACAATCTTAAAAGCTGAACCCAGGGTTATTCTTTCTCTCCATTTATACCAGTTCTGTTTATACATCCATGTTATATTGAGATAGCTTTAGAATTAGTAAAGCTTCCACAACATTACAAAGTGAACATGTACTGCAGCTTTTAATCTTTTGGGCTCTAAATTTGTCACAGTGACATTAACCATGACATTTTGGTTGTTTAGAAAATATTTAGAAAAAAGATGTCAAGCAGAAAGATGAGTATTTCAGAAATACTGTAGACTCTGTTGATGGAAAGATCAGGAACATGGGGAATGCAAAAAATGGCTTTTAACAGAGAAAAACAGAAAAGGGAGAAAAACAAGGAAAGGAATTAAATACAACAAAGGTAGCGGCTAATAAACCACAGATGAGACTCCTTTCCTACTTTTTTGTGGACCCCGAGTCATGCTGGCTTTCTGTTAAATTAGCCAATTACATGTACCTGCTGTCAGCGTGTCCTTGATTAAATGGAGAAATTAAACCCAGCAGAACTCTGTGTCCCAACTACAAATCCACTGCTGCTATAATAATCCACAGTAATTATCTCCAAAGGAAAATATGTTTCTATTCAAACTAGTTGTGCTGTTTGGCAGAGATCATTCCTTTTGCAGTGAAGTACGGACGTCACCAAGGCTAATAAACTAATGAATCATGAGGGATTTCTGTCACCTGGGCCTGTATTAATCAAGCATCCCCAAACAGAATATCAATCCAAACTGACCAGACATTCTCGGGGTGATGATTTTTGGGTCCTTAATATCAGAATAACTTGGACTTCTATCTTTGCTGATGTTTAAGTGCACTGACCCAACAAAAACATCTAAATTGATTGACAAAATGTATTTCACCACAGAAAATATATACTATATACTTTTCCCAATGGATGCTGCTGTAGATAACATCCTTTGTGAGCACCTCCAGAAACTTTAAGAAAACACTGATTTCTAATTGTACACATCTATGGTTATGGATTGGTTAGGTAACTGCTCAAAAACAACCGAACTAGGTAAAGTTCACGCTTTAGGAAACAACAGCAGTCTCAATCTTTTTTTGTTAACCATCCAAAAAGGAAGTAGGATGAAATTGCTCACATAATGTAATGTCTTATATATATATAAAATATACCCTGAAGACAATAAAGCCTTCATCAAATAATTCAATACTTTGCATCAGTCATGATTTTGGTCGTTCCAAATCAATATTTTTGGCAAATAAAAATCTAAATTGTGTTGCTTTGATTTACTCTCACAACGTCCAGCCAGAAAAATATTGAAATTGAAATGTTTACTTGTTATCTAAACACGATTGAATTATAATATACAGTATACAAGTGTTTGCTTTCTCTACTGATTATTTTGGTATTGATTTTCATGTTCACCTCAAGTTTTCATCAGTTAAAAATGATTTTTCATCAGCCTCAGCTGTACTAGCGTCACTCAATACCTCATTGTGACGTGAAAGCGTTTTACATCACCTTTTATTAAAAAAGCCTTTCAGGGTTTGAGGGTGGATGTTCCCTTGAAAAGCGGCTTTCATAACCAATCTGAGCAAAAAATAAACCTGTGATCATCACCAAAGTGGCAGGAGCATTTCATACTTTGGATTAAGTGGAGTGAAAATGAAGGACAGCAGTCTGTTTATTATGGGATGCTGTTTAAGGCTCTCAGTATTTATGAATGGATGGCCCATGAACAAGAATGTGGATACATTCAGAGCTGCGCCCCTGAAACCCTGCTTCATTTCTTGAACAAATACGAGCAGAAGTGAAAGAAATTCAAGTTTTGACATCTGGAGTCCGGTGTTACACCCTCTTTTGACTTTCTTTTGAGCATTGTTGTCTTAAATCTCTAACCTTTTGCTCTCAATTTCCATTCAATGAGAGTGAAAGGATGTTTGACCTATACTAATTAAGTCTCTAAAATGCAGCTCATCTTCATCAGGACTGTGATCGCCCTGATCAACTCTACATAGATCATCTCAATTTGATATTATAACGTTGCTTTTTTCCAGCTTACCCTGCCTACATCAAACCAGCAAGGAGATCACAGAGAAAATATAAAAATGACAGAAATCTGTCATCTGAAATGACTGAAACTGATCTAACGTTGGCAGAAAATCTCGTTACTTCCCAATCTCACAATGTCACATACAATGTTTCTGGCACAAATGATGGACAAACAAAATAAGACCAAGTTGTAATAAAGTGGAATCATCCTTTAAGGCAGATTACAGGGCATCCTCAACACAAAGGAAACATGAAGGACAGTATTTTCTGACAGCAGAGACACAGCACAGCAGTTCTGATTTAAACGTCCATGGAGGATGTTAGGGAGCTTTCCTGACTCCAAAATGTCCCCTTTGACCTCTGTCTTTTATTAAAAAAAACTGCAGAGACTCCAGAAAGTCCACAGCAGTCTTTAAGTCCAGAGGTTCTTCAGTCTCATCGTCCTCCTTTTCACAGAGACGTGCAGAGTGATGGTTTTGACCACAAACAGAGATTCACCACAGACAGGAAGTGACGCAGCAGCAGGCTTTGAATGAGCACAGTGTGTATAAAAAGAGGCGAGAAGAACCTTTAAACACAAAAAGGCACCTTGGATGGGAAGGACTTTGTCATCTTTGATCTAATTTAACTGGTTTGGTTTAAATGAACCGCTTTAACAATACACTGGTGGAGGGCTCTGTGGCTGAACAAAGGCAGATAGCAGAATGCAAAGTATGACAGGCTTTAAGACTGACAGTATGACAGGCTTTAAGACTGATTCATACAAAGGAAATTAAACAATAGACCATTCTCTGCACACACACATTCAAAAAGAATCCCTTTGCAAAAGAGATTTATAAAAAGTAGACCATTGTTTGATTATTTTAAACAAAAGAATTGACAAAAATATAAAAAGACATCTTAAAGGATGAATTCTGCTTTTCAAAAAACAGTGTATTAGAGCTGCAACACTTTGATAATTAATCCATCAATCCAAAAAAAAGGCAATTATATTAAGAATCAGTTAATTAATTAGTACATTTTAGAGCAAACATTTATAAACTTTTGCTGAATCCATCTTCTCAAACGTTATAATTTAAAGCTTATCTTTTGGCTTTGGACTGTCGTTTGAGAACTGCTGTTATTATAACTAGCATTCAAGATTTCCTGACATATTCATTGACAGCTCATTGACTGATTTATAAACAATCAGAAAATTCATGAATTAATGGTTAGTTGCAGCTCTAGACTTTAAAGATAAGGTCATTCAAATGAGAAAAAAACACACTTTTATCTCCTAACTGCAATCATATCTGGCCATGCAGATAGTTTTGGTTTAAATCTTGCTATTTTGGTTGATAGAAATGCATGCTGGGATACTTGCACACACAGGGATATGTTTTTCTATTTGAAAACCTGAGCAAATAAAAATAAATCTGCATGGTTAGATAAGACGAGATGCGACTCAGATGTTGTTTTTAATCATATTATTCCAGACATTTATGAATTAATTCCATATCGTCTGGTGTCTGTCATCTGTCTTCTTCAACCTCAGAAATAACATGAAAGCCATTGGTACATTCAGAGGTATTTCATTTTAATAGCTTTACAATCAGAGGCCATTCTGTTTGAAGAAGACTGCAACAGAGGCGTTTCCCTGCAGTCTCAGGATTTATCCCCAAAGCTCGAGTTACTCTTGCTTTGTTACTCCCATACATGAAATGGTCTACCAGCAGGGAGAACATACTGTATGTAAACCTGCACAGTCTGAGAATCATCCGACCATCATCTGCTCATGAAGAAAAGACACATAGAGGGGGAGAGAGGATACAATTGCGTAAAGGAATACATTCTACAGAAACCCTGAGAGACAAGTGGTAACAAAACGCTGTGTTTGGAACGCAATTTAAATAAATGCTAATTACTGAAAGTAGCAACTAAATACTAGGATTCTGATCGAACATCGACTTATTTGAATAACAAGTTTTGCAGGTTAGTTCAACATGCAAAGATGTAAACTTTATCCTTCCAACAGATTAAACTGTGTGCTGAATGTTTTGCCAAAAAAGGGTTTAAAATGAGTAGCTGTCAGTCAAATGTATCTGAAAATCAACAACTGACTAAATGAAAGGACTAAACAACTATCTGAATTCCAGAAACTGAAACTTATGGACCTAGTGAAAATCCAATGTTAGCCTAATTTTTCCAGAGCATGAAAATGATTAATTTAAGTCTCAGAGTTTCTGTAAAAATGGACCAAACAACTGTTGTATCTATAAGAAAAACACACTCTTGACAATAATAAGAGGAGCTGCACTAACGCAAGTTACAGTGTAAAGAAATCCTTAATCAAAGAAAAACAATAATACTATTGATATAAAAATATCTGCAGATAGAGACAACTTCTTGGCCCTGGCATCTCCATTTAAAAACCAAGCAAAGTTCATTTTAAAACATTAAATAGAAGAAAGAGCAGTGAGGTTTATTTCAGCAGAATGGAAGGAAGAAGTAAAGTGGTCAGAGTTCATGAGCTGAAGGTCACTAGTTTGATTCCCTGGACAAAGTGGGGAAAGTACGCTCAGTCCTCCATTAGTCTGCCACAGTGCCCTACAGCAAGGCACTTTTACAGCAAGCGTTTCAGTGGATCTGCTCCAGCAGCAGCTTCCAGATCAGTGAGATGGACATGTGTTTAAGTGGATGTGAAAAAATAAAGCCTTCCAAAAATCAAGAAAAGCAAAAAAAAAATATCTGTTCATCTTCCGTAAGTTCCCGTCTCCTCGTTTGGAACGCGTCAACCAGTGATTTTTCACAACTTTTTCTTTTTTAAATAACATTTAACATTATGGTTATGTTGAAAATATACATTCTGACATTTAGAGATAGTACTATGTTAAAAATACAAATGTGCAAAAGTTGTAAACAAATTAGATCCTGTGTGTGTGTGTGTGTGTGTGTGTGTGTGTGTGTGTGTGTGTGTGTGTGTGTGTGTGTGTGTGTGTGTGTGTGTGTGTGTGTGTGTGTGTGTGTCACAGCCTGGTGGGCTCCTCGTCGCTGTCGCTGCAGTTACCACAGCAGTCCTGCAGGGGGGGGCAGAGAGCGGAGACGTTTTTCAACCTAAGCAGCTTCTCACATGAGGTTATATATGTTTTCTGAGTACCACTCTGATCTCTAGCTGGTGCAAACAGATGTTTAAATCTAAAAGTATGCTGGTGTTTTGAAGGGAGGGGGTGCACTGACCTGCCGGCCGAAGAGCCGCTGCAGCAGACCCTGTTTGGGCGGAGGAGACGGCTGTCCCCTCCAGTCCAGGTCTGGAGGAACCGTCCCGTCCTGGTGGAAAACATTCAGCTCCATAAAGCACTCTGTCTCGATCATCTGCAGAGAAAAGACCCAACTTCATTCAGACATATAAAGTACATATTTGTTAAAAGGTTTAACTGTTGAAGTCAAAGGACACATTTTGTTCTTCAGCAACAACAAAGAGTCCGGCGTAGGATATCAGCCAAAAAACCTAGGTAATCATAATGTAATTTCACATCATTATCTTTAAATTGAACGTATGGCATATGAGTTTAGCTTCTCTAAATCTTTGATGTTTGTTGGATTGAGAGTTGAAAACAAAGAGAGAGATCAAGAGTGGCAAAAATCCCTGTTTTAAAAAAAAATGAAAACCTGCAACCCCTAATCGATTTCACAGGGGTAGGGTATTAAACAGTTGACCATTGGTGCTTGAACAAAAATGTCCTGCAATAATATTTTTGATAAATAAATATCAGTTATGTTTTGTTGGGAAAGTTGGGAAAATCCTTTAAAAAAACAGACAAAACCTATGATTAATCAACATATCCAAATTCTAAGACGTTATCTAGTTTCAAATATACCACTACCAGCAATACCGATATAGTATGGAGATATTGCCCTGCCCTACTGTAAGTCCCGTTAGCACAAAGATATTAAAATCTGATGTTACTGCAGATGTTGTGTTTATGAATGGTTCTCACCTCGTCCTGCCAGGGGATGGACACGCTGCCCGTGGACACTTTGCTGTAGAAGGACGCGTCTTTGGGCTCCAGCTCCACTCCTTTCACTGTGGAGAACTGCTCGATGTCCAGCACGTCTTTACAGTAGATGGCCTGCGGCTGCAGACACACGGACGAATAACTTTTAAAAGACATTTACATTTAAGATGCCAGCATTAACTGAAGAAGGGTGTTTATAAGAACCACAACTAAAAGCATTTTAACTGCAAACGTAGGAAGTGGGTTTCCATGTGTGTATGTATATAAATACACATAAATAAACAAGATTCTATATATACATACATATACACACACACACACACACACACACATATATATATATATATATATACACACACATACTTCAGGTTTCAAAGTAGGATTTAAAAAGGTCCTTTCCAGGGTAAACATGAAATCAAATACCAAATCAATTAAAAGCAAAATGAATAAACAACGAGGAATAGAAAGTAGAAAAAAGGTACAAAATAAATTCACATATCAAATCTATGTATTTTTATTTCTTTTTTTTAGGTCAACCAAAACACATACAATGACAGAAACGAAACTACAAACAAACAATTCCATAAGTTATTCATCCTGTTACTTACATGTTTACTCTTATTGCTGTTCTCATACCCCTTGTGTATCTGTCCTATCCTGTGTTTAACTCTTATTGCTGTTCTCATACCCCTTGTGTATCTGTCCTATCCTGTGTTTAACTCTTATTGCTGTTCTCATACCCCTTGTGTACAGTATCTGTCCTATCCTGTGTTTAACTCTTATTGCTGTTGCTGCATCACACCTGAATTTCCCTACAGGGAATAATAAATGTGTATCAAATCTTCCAACATTAAACGTGCAACAGTGCGTTCACTGTGGGGAATCCTTCCTGTGGCAGACACCTTGCACATTAATGATGCTCCGTATAATGAGCCTCACTGACATGCGTATTAATCAGATCCATTAATTCCACTTCCTGTGCTGTAGAGAAGATTGAATTTCCAGCGCTCTATTTAAAAGGACATTTTGAGACAAATGAGCTTTCTCACTGATTAAGAAGATTAAGATATGTTGATCATTAATGTTACTCTTGCAGTTATAGTGTTATTTACGTTATTAGTCACACATAGGTTACCATCAATATATATTGTGATATAATTATCATTCTGTATATTTAAAATTGTGTATTCTATAGAAACTCTATGGATAAGTATCTGTTTACTAGTCGTATGTATATATTTACTGATTATATTTTGAACATAAGTGCAATGCTTTGTTAGCATGCTGCTGCAACAGAACAACTTTCCAATTTGGGATCAATAAAATCTAATCTAATGAAGTTTTATCTAATCTAAATTAGTTATCCCCGGCCTATTGTTGATTTTAAAACGGTGCTATCATTGCTAACGCTAATAGCTACACCTGTGCTAACACTACCTGGATCTATATTTGTACTTCAGAGATAAAACTTAAACATAATCCGTTATCAAAGTTCTTTATTTTATCATGTCACTCTCTGAGTAAGAATAAGTCATCTTAAAATGGACAGTTTTGTAGCACAAAGCTTTCTCAGTGAACATGAGTAAATACGGTGGACTCACATCAGGAATGAATGGCGCCTGCAGCATGCCGGCCGCGAGGCGTTTGAAGTTGATGGAGCGGAAGAGGGGATGGGCTTTGACCTCCGAGGCTCCCCCTTGCTCACATCCCAGCCTCTCTGAGGGCTCTTTGGCCAGAAGCTAGAGAATAAAAAACAACAGGAAGTTACAAACTAGACAAACAAATAAAACAAATAAGGTGTGAACTACTGTAGTGTCGTCATGATACTGGAATGTCCAATGATAGAAGACTGGGAACATTTCAATTTTCGATACCCTGGTTGGGAAATCTGAAAAGTGTGTACTCTGTGTTATGTCTGTTTTCCCTCCTGTTTGATCACCTGATACTGTTCACCTGATGGCCTTGTGCTTTTCCTTCCCTCCCCACCTGTGTCTTTTCCTTTTGAATAGTTCTGCATGTATTTAAGTTCTGGTTTTCTGTGCGTGTCTGTTGGTTCCTTGATTTTTTATGTATTAAAATCTTTAATTACGGTATTTTTCTGTTAAAACCGTTGTCCATCCTGCACTTGGGTCCCACCTGCTCTGCCCGACCATGTCAAAATCTGATATTGAGGGGATAGAATTTCAGATACTTATCAAAAGATGAAGATAACAAATACATTTCTTTGGTTGATTTGACATCTAAGTTTGTTGCTTGTTGACAATCTCTGTTGTTGCTGCAGGATTTGAGCCATGAATAACTTCTTTTGACAGGAAACTGTCTTTTTAAAGAAGCTCTTTGTCCTGGTGACAAGAATGAGCAGTCTGCACTTCTTTTTGTGCAGTGCTAATGTCAGTGTGAACACAATCTAAAGTGATAAAAACACACAAAAGGTGTGAGGAAGCTTGTTTGCCAACTAGAGATGAAGTACATGCAGTACCACCATTGTGTAACGGACCCTTACAGGGTGCTGTGAGGAAAGGGATGCAGCCAAAGTGACAGAAACATGTATCCTCAGTATCCAACAAATAGTGTCACATTGTTGTAAACAAGCATCTCCTCTTTGCAGTTTGAGTTTTTCCTAGGTTCATTAGGATATGGTAATTTATTGAGCGCGAGCAGATGGTAGCAACCGACCAGAGCACATTACAGACGAGTGGAACATCCACCCACCATTCGACACAGGGACTTGGCGTCCTCGGAGAACTTGCTGGAATATTCCTCCTCCACCTCCCTCACTAGCCGCTCCACTTCCTCCCTCTTGATCTTCTTCTTCCTCTGCTGGAAGGGAGACTGGCCCTCGATCATCTCGTACAGCAGGCAGCCCAACGCCCACCAGTCGGGGCTGAACGTGTATCGCTCGTTCTTCACCACCTCCGGAGCTGGAGGGGGAAGGAAGGCATTTGTTGGAGCTGAAGGTCATTCAGAAACACAGAATCTAAAAGTTCTGTGTTGAAATAAGGTTTATTCCTGTTTTTCTGTGTCTTTTGAAAAATGTGTTTACCTTTTATGTATACATTTACATTTACATTTAATTGATATGCCATTCGTTGGAAACTTCATGTAAATAATATCCTACTTTAAACTATGTTTGCTGTTATTTGGCCCTTCAAAGTGTTTATTGTCAGATTTGTATCTTTCACGGTCAACTTATATATATTTACATTTTCTGTTCTGTTTTATTTTCTGTTTGGTTATTTTTCTACTCTTTTTGTTTTCCAGATTATGTGCAATACCTTTGTTTTAACATGCTGCTGTAATGAAAACATTTCCCAATTTTGGATCAATAAAGTATATCTTATCTTATTTCATTGAACAGATGCGCTTTGTTCCGAATATAAAGTCATATATTTACATACGTATACGTATACAAGTATTTAAGTACGATAAGTCAAATGTACTTTAAGTATTAGGAGTAAAAGTACTCATTGCAGAAAAAACTCCCACTTGTAACCCACTCATGGTTTTAGTTACTTAAATATGAATTGGATTGTTTAATCTTTACCAATGAATCATATTTTAAACTGTTTCCCCTTAGTATTCTGCATTTATAAAGTAACTATTTAATAATTCTGTCAAACAAATGTAGTGGAGTAATAAGTACAAACGTTTGCTTCCAAAATGTAGTAGAGTAGTAGTATAAAATGAAAATACTCAGGTAATATTTTGTAAAAATGCCTATATTTACATATAACATAGATGAATCACAACAAAGAAAACAAGAAGAAACAAAGATAAAACTGAAAGACAAAATGAATTTTTTTTATAATAAATCTAAGCAGTAATATATTAAAGCTGATCACAAAGCAATGTCTCATATTTCGTCATTGGTCGAAATAAAGCAGAGGTAGAGAAACAGTTTCTATTTAAGACGTGTAGAACTGGATAAAGGTCAGAGGTTACTTACACATGTATCCTACGGTTCCCACCCGTCCTTTGATGGACTGTCCTTCTGGAACATGAACCGCTAAACCCAGGTCTGAGATCCGGATGTGGCCTGAAGACACACACACAAATCTGATTCAGAAAATGATAACCTGGGTCTTTTTTTTCTGTAAAATGTAAGTTGAACATTGAATTTCCACATGAAAGAATATTGTGCAGGTTCATTTCATTATGTGCTTTCATTTTTTGCAAGGTAATCATGGACCTTCCTAAACAACATAAAAGAGAGGTCAGAGTAGAAGAATCCAAGAAATGAGCCAAAGTGAAACATCATTTTTCGCATACCTGTTATTGTTGCTTTTATTGTATTTATTTTCATTTTATAAATTTGTACCTGTGTACAATCATACCTTTATTCTTTTATTGATTGCTGATTGTCTTATTTTAAAATTGGAAAGCACTTTGGTCCACTGAGGTTGTTTTAAATGTGCTATATACCTTGACTTGACTGTTTGGTGTATATACAGTAAAGGGACGTTGATTCTATGTTTTCTTGTACCTGGATTATTTAATTCTGATACCAAACAGAAAATGATTAATAGAATTATGTTTTAAGTAATGACTTTTTGCTTATGTTAGCTCTATTATTCTTGTCAGTCAAAACATTGCTGGGTTCATTCACGTCTCACTGCAACTCTTAATAGGCTGTATAATGTTCACTTTCGTGTTGCTGATTTGTTTCTTGTGATTCATGAATCACCCTGAGTGGATCATGTGTTGACAAGTGATAAAGACCTTATGTTTGTTTCCTTTTGTGCAGAATGTAAGCTACAACCACCAGCGGATATGCATGGAGAGCCACATTATCTGAGCAAATGATGTTTACACTCGAGTTGCAGTAGTTTGTCTTCATAAACTAAGGGAAAAAACGTCCACTTGAATGATGAATCTATTTACCCTAGCTCTATTATTAATAACTAAGCATTGTAATGGTTTGCAGTTTTGTTGAAGCTCCATTTCTTGTATCCTGATCATACATAATGTAATACTTTTTAACAAATCTTGGAAACATATTGATTCTGTTCTAACCAAACTCAGGTGTCTGGTTTTGTGGGTGGATATTAGTCTTAGGACTTTATTTGCAAGAAAAATGACCAACTCGATCCGACAATGAGGTATTATCGTATCATCTTTATGTTCTCATGCTAGAACATTGCATTCTTGTTTGTCTCTAATATTTAAATGTGGTTTTAGATCAGGTCTAACTGTGGGATGTCATGAGAATATTTAGCAGAGACTCTGAGGAGAGTTTCTCTGAAAGCTTCTGGTTTCAGGATCAGTTCTGCCGGAGTCAGAGTGCCCTCTGGTGATTCACAGCAGAAATGATCTCACAAATGTATTTCTTTAAAAAGGACTATTGAGCTTTGTTGAGCTTCGGTCACAAGTAAAGGTACCAGATAAAGTTCTTATTGTATCTTATCTTATCCTAAACATCCCACAGACAGGTAACAGTGCATGTCACAACCTATGTTAACCTATATAACCTGGATTATGATGATGGAGGCATTAATGTGTTCATAATGCTTATGCTAGTGGTGCTAATTTAAACTTTGTAAACTGCTGCTGGATATCTTAATCTACAAATATATGCCAATGTTTATTTATTATTATCTTTTCTATAAAGGAATAATCTAAAATGATGAAGCAACTAAGATTAAGATGAACTTTTATTAATCTCGAGGGAAAATTCAGGTGTTGGTTTACAGTTACAACTGCACAAATTAGGCCCAAAGGACACACACACATGCACAAAAAGGACCTGTAAGTAAATGTAGAGGAGTACACATTCAATATTGGCTTCCAATATGTAGTTGAGTAAAATTATAAAGCAGCATTAAATGAAAATGCTATAGGGTACAAGTACCTCAAAATTGTACTTAAGGACAGTATTTAGGTAAATGAACTTCATTACCTTCCAACACTGCCTTTAGACCTCTGATTTAATGTTTGCCGAAACACTTAACAATGGTATTTGACTACAAAACATTACTGTAAAAAGTACAAAATCGGCACTTAAAGGTGGGGTAGGTAAGTTTGAGAAACCTGCTCGAGATACACTTTTTGTTATATTCCATGGAATGCTCTTAACATCCCGATAGCAATGAATATCTTAAGTGCTTTGACAAAAAATCCATACAAAAATGTCATCTGTGGAAGCCGTAGTACTGTAAAAAGCACGACCAATCATTTTAGCCGGCCCGCTTCCTCCAATCCGTGTGTGTTGGAGGAGGGGCTCTGTAAGGAAGTGGCAGATTTTTTCCGGCTGTGTATTTTCAAATTCTAGCGCACTCGAGCTGGTTTCTCCAAAATTACCTACCCCACCTTTAAGTTAATGTACCTAGTTACTTTCCGCTACTGGTTCTAACCAAATTCAGATGTCTGTTTTTAGATTTGTATTTGAGATTTCAAGGATTTAAATATGCTTCTTAATAATGCTACTCACCGTGGTCGTCCAGCAGGATGTTCTCTGGTTTGAGGTCTCTGTGTGACAGAATGAAGAGAAGACCAGTTAGACAAAAGGCCAAAGAGGACAGATCATGAGACAATCGTCCGTGGGGCTCAGAGACCTGTAGACGATGCGTTCTCGGTGCAGGTCCTCCAGCCCGCAGCAGATCTCTGCAGAGTAGAACACGGCTCTCTTCTCGTCAAAGCCGGCGTCGCCCATGTGATAGACGTGGAACTTCAGGTCCCCGCCGTTCATCAGGGTCAGCACCAGGCACAGAGCGTCCTTCGTCTCGTAGGCGTACGCTAAACTGACCTGGAAACAGACAGAGGAAGGTGATGTGTTAATGCAGGGAAATGTTTTAGGTGTAAATGCTGCTGAGATGTTAGAGAGCTTACATCTACAAATCATATAGTTCTGGTAGTTTAATCATAAGAAAAGACTTGTGTTTTGATAAATTACACAAACATTTTAAACCTACCATAATTCTAGCTTCAGAGTAACATGAATATTGTTTTGTTTTGGACTGTTGCTTAGACATAAATTGTAATAATTTGTATTAATTGTAAGAATTGTTATTTTAAATACTATGTGCACGCCTTTAAAAAAAATATTATATTGTTTTATTGTCTTCATCTCTACTATCTATACTTTCTGTAACAACGTACATTTCCCCTTTGTTGGATGAATAAATGAATTCTGATTCTGGAAAAATCCTTTTACAGACGTTTTTCTGGTTCTCGGAAATAGTAATGGTTGTTTATTTAATATTTTGAGATGTTGTGTAACAATTGAAAAAATGTAAAGATCATATATATAGTAGAGCCATAAAAAGCTAAATAATAAGCTAAAAGAGGCTAAAATGCTCTGAATAGATGAGGGTTATGCAGACATTGGTGATAATTCTATTTTAGGTTCATTATCAACAGTCAATAACTGAGGCCTTACATAATTATAGTGCATTAAAGTCATATTTACTAAATCTATCTAAAATATGTCCTGGAGTATTTTCCCTTAAATGTAGGATGTTTAGGAGGCTGACATCACCATTATGTGCACTGCTGCCAAAACCTCTTAAAAATAAATTCTTTAATGAAGTCTGTTGTTTTTGTGTTTTTGCTTTGGAGCCATGTTGACCCCTGAGGGACTCCGCGGCCCCGGGAGCCCGGACCAGTCAACTGAGTCCAAATTAAAAAAAAGCTGAACAAAGGTTGCTGGCAGAGAATCAAACCCGACCAGAGACGGGACAAACGACCAGGTTGTCTTTTAATTACTGCAGTTGTTAATGTTGCAGACATCACGTCCCATTGACGCACACAGAGAGTCACTCAGGAGGAATAGGTGAAGAGTTTCAGTTGTCTCATTTTGAGAAAACTAAAATATCACTAGAGCGTCAAATGTATATTAATCCACCACTGAAAATAGTCCCCGACAAATGCTCTTTTCCTTACTCCTTGTGTACAAAAATGTTAAAAACTACGGTGGCAATCTGTTGTAGGAAATTACTGAATCACACTTTTAAGTAGGAACCAACACGTTTGGGGGTGACTTGCCTGTACATTTCCAAGGGACAGCCTACAACATTATCTGTTTAAGATTAAAAAACTGTTAAAAAAATGGGACAGTGATTTAAAAAAATGTTGGTCGACATACTGTTAATAATAATAATAATAATAATATTACTAATAAACTGTATTTGTATAGCACTTTTAATACATGAGGTGCATTTCAAAGTGCTTTTATAAATGGCACAGATCACAAATTGAAACAAAAAACAAGAAATGTAATTTGGGTCAAGCCATAAATGCAATTCAAGTGACAAAAGGAGGTACAAAAGGGTATGAATAAAATGCGATGCTTACTACAAATCTGCTGTTGATTTTCTCCAGGATCTGTTTCTCATTAAGCGCCATGGACTCTCCTTTCCTTTTCTTTATTCTCTTTTTCTCCAGTTTCTTACAAGCGTACATTTTCCCCGTGGCCCGTACCTGACACGCACACACCTGCAGCGTAAAAATGAGGAAAAAGATGACAACTCTTATTTCCATGTACATATAAAAAGCTGCAGCCACAAAATATACAATACACCCTCTTAATAAAAACAAGCCCATCTTGTGACTTCTCATTTCTGACCCCAAACAAGACTGTGATTGTAAATGATCAGATCATAAGGTAACACAGGATGGCACCTCAGGGTGTTACAAATTAGCGCCTTGTTAGAGAAAGTGGCATGCCTTTTAACTGCAGGATTTCAGTATCATATCAAATATCTTTAACCCTTATCTGTCTTTTTTTCTCATCCATTTCTACACTGTCCTCTTTCTCTGTACCCAACATGGTTTAAAATAACCACCAATGTTGTTATAATACTCTGTATTCATTGCACACACTGACTTTTGATAAGAAGATAAGCATTGCGCTTCCATTAAGTTGGAAGACTGGAGGAGGGGCTCTATAAGGAAGTGGCAGATTTGTTCCGGCTGTGTATTTTCAAATTCTAGCGATCTCGAGCCGGTTTCTCCAAAATGACCTACCCCACCTTTAACTTCTGTTACTTTGTTAGAAGGTTCATATAGTAAAACCATATGTATATCACATTATCATCAACACATCTGGTAATCCAGAGCCTAAAATAAATAGAGTAAAGCTGTGGACCCCGTCTCCTGATGTTATGTCATTTAACACTTTGCTTTATCTCCTCACCTGATCAACGCCGTCTTTTATAGAAATGTAAATGTAAAGTCTCTTCCTTCTCTGATGTCTGTGTCCAGTGTGTGGTGCTATAAACCACCATTACTTAGAAACTATACAGCTCTAACACAGCTTTACCTCTGAAATGCCTTAATGAGCCTAATTTGGAAAAAACTGAGGGATGATGCAATTTATTACCGACCCGTCCAGAAGGAGCCAGCATAATTTACTGAGGAATAAAAGTTGATTTGTCCTGCATTGAATAATTCATTATACATGTAAAGAATGTACTGACTTAAGAACTTTATACTTAAAGGGCATCTTTATACATCTCAGCCTCTCTCTAACCCTTACCCTTTTCTTTTTCATATATTTATTATTTGTACTTATCAATAAGATAATATCCTCTTCCTTGTGTTTTGCGTAAACAAAAAATATTATGCAAATGTTCAGGTTCATAATTTTATTATGTGCCTCGACTGTGACATGTTTCCATGCTTTAATGTTCAAAAAGGAATCCAATGGAGGCGTTTTAGGCGGGGAGGGGGGCGGGGGGGGAGAGAAACTCCGTCTGGAGGGAACTTTGGGATTCAAACCTTTGCAGACCATTTACATGCACTTAAACCTATATAACACTACAGGAAAGGCAACACCCCAAACAGCATAAAAGGGCCTCTTTAAAGTCGTAAATTGAATGCACTCACCTCTCCAAAGCCTCCTTTCCCTAAAACTCTGTACTGTCGGAATGTATTTTTCGTAACTGGTTGCCTGTTGGACAGAAACAGAAACTCATATAAATAACACTGCAACACATGTTAGGTAACACAACGTTATTAATATAAAGTTATTAACAATTTTGCTGATGCAGATGCATAGTAGTTGTCAAATGTGGATCCTTCTTGGGGCATCATTAATGTCTTGGGTTTATTTGACGTTATGGTGAAAACGGCCCTTGAATTTTTTATTTGAATGCATCTGTGGATGTGGATAACGAAGCTACTGTATTCAACTGTTTAAGCTTTCATTATGTGGATATTCAGGTCAGTAAGTTTGTGGGACAGACGTTGAAATAGATGTTATGGGGAAAAGACGTGTTTTAAGGTGAATGCTGGTGAAGTGTATTAAAAACCATAATGACCTTGTGTGACTGGTAGCTGCCATTGAAGCTCAGTGTTTCAACAGTGATCTTAAAAACAGTTTTTGAGTGTGCAGTTAGTCATCAGTGTATGGATTAATGAAGCTGCTAATGAGGAGCACCACCAATGACCCGGTCCCTGGACACTTTGGTTATTGAAGCAAGTAAATTGAATGGACTCATTAAAAGAGAATGAGTCATTTAATGCTTAATAAACCCTGCGATGGTAGTTGTCCTGCTTGTTTTTACACTGAGTTTTTCAGTAATTGGTATTGGTTTGTGTAGTCTTGTATTCAGGCCTGTATTGACCCACTGACTTCCTGAGTTGTCTTTTAAACAGATGCCAGCATAATGAATCGTGACGTTTGAGGTGAGCAGTACAGTTCAAGTCTCTGCTAGAGAACACGTACTAAGTACAATTGCGTATACAATGTGTTCTAACTGCATAGTGTGTTTGCATGTTTTTAAATTGTAATTGTATTGCTGTGCGAAATGCAGTTTTTCAGACTTCCCAATGGCCGACATCTAAAACAACCAAATTCTAGTCTCTGTGATCATTCATAGTGCTTTCACATATAGTACAAGTCAGAATAGAACTATTCACACCCATGAACACACTGTTGGCTATTGGGGGTCAATTTGGGGTTAGGAATCTGCCACCCATCCACTTTTGGACTGCAGAGGCTGGGTATCAAACCATCGAACCTTGGTTTTGTGGACAACCATTCTACCACGCAAATGACTGTTGCATAGAATAATAACAATAGTAAGTAAACCCTGAAAAACAAAACAAAAACACGGGAGCAAACTGTGACCTCACCTTGGAAAATATTAAATTGAATGGAAGAGGTAATGTTGACTTACATCTGTCAAAATCAATTTTCATTGGATGTTAGCTTTGACCTGTTATTACCTGGGTGATAGTCAATGGATGCAAAACTAAAATGTTCTATTAATTCAGTGTGAACAGTGGTTGTAACAAAAGTTGCAGCTGCCTCTAATCAACATGACCCAGTCCTGTGCCATCAGCCCATCAGTCTGTGGGTATTTAAATCCCTTCATTTGGCCAGTCGATGCTCTAGTGTCGAGACTATCAGCATGTGTGTTTAAGCTGTATTTTCTTTTCCTGGCTGCAAGAAGCTTCAGTGATATCCCTAAGCTAGTCTTGCATAATTCTTACAAAGTGGTCTTCTTTCTCTGCTCACATTGGTTAAAACTTTAAATAGGGGGTTTATTTACGACTTCATCTATATTAAACAGAAGTTTGTCAGTTCAATTCAACAACTAAGCTTAGTTTTGAACGCAAGTTCTTCTACGGTACAATACTTACGAGCTAACAACGCATTGGAACGTTTTACTCATAACTGGAATAAAAAAAACAGGTGTTTGTCATGAAACACGAAATAATGTGCTGTTTCTCTGTTAACCAGCAGCAGTTGGCTTGAGACAGAGATTCTCTTAGGAGTCATGTTTCATGATTTGTTTCATGATGTTGTGCTCTGACCAAAGGCAGGAAGATAAATGCCTAATTTACACATTTTATTTGCTTGTATCCAGGTGAAAGTCGGATGAGATTTCATTTTCCTGTATTGCAATTCAGGATCAGCTCGGCTCCAGTTCAGAGGGTGGTGGCACAAAGGGCTGAACAATTTTATAAAATATACTTTTTACTGTTTTGACTGATTTTGCAATATCAGTAAAAAGAAAATCTGAATATTACCAGGAACTACCAGTTTTGCATTAATATTACAATTTTCACTGAAAATGATATATAACTCTCATATTTTCCAAAATGTCAAACAAGTTCTTTAAATACTGTTTACAGTTACAGGAGGCAGAAAGTAAAGCCACTTATCTGAAGAGTGATTAGCATAAAAAAATTGGCATATTTTCAGTTGGGTTTGCATCCCTTCTGTCCATTTGTGTAAAACAAAACCACTATGCATATGCGTGTCAGGTGTGGATCCTGCTGTTGCTTGGAGACAATACGTTTTGGACTCACCTAGCAACAGGAGACATCTTTAAGGAGAGTCAGCTATTTGCATATACATATAGCCTACTGCCTGCTGAATAGAGAACATTTCCAAACTCCCTCTGGAGGAAACTTTGAGATGTTAACCTTAGCAGACCATTTACATGCACAAAAACCTATAGTACACACTACAGGAAAGGGAGAACTCAAAAAGCTTAATAGGGTCCCTTTAATAAACAAATGTACACACACTGAAGTTTGTGAAAACTTGAAGAACTCAACAATTCCCCATTGCCAACTTTATACAGTTCCTGGAAAGCTGAGAGGTCAGACATTCATTTTAGTTTTATTTGATATCAGCTCGAGGTGCTGGAAGAAACAGTCCTCATTCTGCAGTAAATAATGATGAAAGAAGCCAACACTGTTCCTGGAGGGCACACAGACATAACATCTGTCTCAATCCTTGCTTTGTCTTTCACTTTCTTGACATTTATTTGGGTTTCTTAGAAGGTCTTTATCTGATGTTGATTCAGGCGCTATCTTTTGTATTCACGTCAATGGATCCCATGTGGATGGATAGGGGATTGGGGACTCGTGGTTGTTTCAGATGATCCTTAGAAAGTCCCAGTTTAACCATCACAACTAAACACTCCTGCACTGAGGGCTAGAGAGCATGTTTACAGCATCAGTGAGGATTTAAAGTGGAGTCTGGGAACCATCAGGGTTCTTTGAGCCTAAGACAAACTTGCTCTGTCTGTAAACAAACTCATAACAACCATTATTATAATGACAGATGTATTCCTCCACCAACAAATTATGTGATTCTGTTACGTTTACGTTTGAATATCAGGAGTTCAGATCCCAGTATTTCCCCTGAGCCAGCAATAAAACTGGATCAACTTTTTGGCTACAGGAGTATCATCCAATTACATTTCATGCTTAATTGGCAGTCCTACTGTGAGACAAAATGCCTTATTTTAGAGTAAAGACACAAGCATAAAAAAAAATCTCTTATGACGTTGTGTTTCATTTCAAAATATATTCCAAGTGTGTGTTTCTTGTTGGATGCACTTGATCGGCCAATGACAAGAAAGCTGCACTGTTGTTATTGTAGTTTATTTCATCAGTACAGTAACACACAGACAGACTACAAACTGGAGCATCTTGCACACTGTTTAGAGCTTGCCATCGCTTATTTGTTTACTTATATTTATAGAAATGGAACGTCACTTACGTAGTTTTGGACCTAAATGAGTGTTCTTTACTGTGATAACAGATTTACCTGCTGTACCTCCTGCAACACTCGACCCATAATGACACTAAACAAACCTTCTGAGTTTTTTTCTGTAACAGTAGAATTCTGTAACCTTCACTGCTCTGAAAGTCTTGAGCAATTTCTAATTACTGTCCTGTAATTTGTAACGCTGATATCACTCTGCATTGCGTTAGTTCTCACGCCCGTAACTCCGAGGAAATGAGGACACTGGAAAGGAAGGAGTGAGGCAACCACTGCTGAGCGTGTTGTTACTGGTACTGAGGTGGAGTGAAGGAACACCGGAGCCTCGTAATGAGCCCAGGTGAGATTTGAAGTGGTGTGTGTGTGTTAATGAAATGATGCATTTTGCTGATGTACACGCTAGGAAGAAACAGAAACCGTTTAAGAAGGTGTTTTCTCTCAGTGATAACACACTTTACCTCTCAAGCCATTTCCACTGGAGGAACCTGTTGTAGTACATGCTGTCGAGGTGGTCAGCGAAGGGAGCCACGCTCAGGTAGTCGTGGATCAATCTGGGGAAAAAAACACACGAAAAAAGGGTCAGCTTTGGAGCAAGGAACATTTGAAAATGTGAGAAGAGAAAGCATTTGGCAAATTATTCAAATAAAATCATTGTGTGTAACTGGCAGGATTTTTGCAACAGTGTGCACAACCCTGAAAAAACTGTTTCAAATTGGACACATATTTAGTTAAAATGGCATAAGGGTTGTATATTAAATGTGAGGTATTAGTGGTTTCAATTCAATGTAGAAATGAAATCACAGTATAATATTTAAGTGGAATTTCACGCGAGACTTTAAAAAAAATAATGAAACCTTAAGAACATCACCAGACTTCTCCCTTACCTTTTTAGCAGACATATAGACAAAGGTTAGATTTGTAGTGTTGATACTGAGTCTTGTACTTGACTTAACAAACTGGCATCTGTGCAGCCTTTCACTTCACAACAAGCATGAACAGAGCCAATAGAGGACGTTACTCAATGTGTTCTGTATGGAATGAACAATATACTATTTTATTAAAACTTCTCCATTTCTGTTTATATGTCTCTATTGAATGTTTGTTTACTTCATATAATAGTCATTTAAATGTCATTTTAAGATTCTCTGCATCACAGCTTAATTTTTTCCAACTATCATTAATGCTCAGTACTTTTAACCTTTACGAACTGAACTTCCTCATTTTAGAAATACTAGAGAAAAACATCCAAAGCAAGAACAGATTACACTTTTTTAAACGTATTTAAGGCAAAACCCAGGCTATCACACTCTTTCACGCTTATAACGTTTGTTTGATATGTTTCTAAAATGCCCGCTGGGATACTGCTCATGAATTGGACTCATATCAGACCCGAGTCAAACATTTGATAATCTACCTCTTCATCAAACAACAAAAAGAGCTTTGACTTTTAACACCACACCGACTCATGACTTGGACTTGGGCCTTGTGACCTTTTTTAGACTCTGCCAAAAACCTGAAGCAGAGACAGAGCTGACATTCAGGTCAGTGTTCAGACTGTTAGCAGCACTTGTTTTGATGTGCTTTGAATACATGTAGCTCGATCACAGGATTTCTTTAATGTGAGGAGAACAGAAACCTCTGACAGAGAGAGAACGGAGAATAAATGTTTTACTTAATGGGAAATGACCTGGATATAACTTGGTATTATTTCACGATTCAGTTCAATTAAATTCGGTAAGACTTTGCCTACAACTGCCTGTATCTCATTTCATGCATTTTCCCAAATATACCAGTGTTTGTCAGGGTAGTCTAATATACATAACTTATTTCGTTGTATCTGTTTTTACAGCCAACTTTTTGTTTGTGTTAACATTTTAATGTGGTCACTTTCACACTTGCAGTACAAGTAATTTGGTCTAGACCGAGAAAGGTTTACACTGAGTTGTTATTGTGTGTCACAAGTCGTATAACAAATCATTTATTTGACAGTTTCTGAGATGTAATTCTGCATCATCAGTGCTACAAAGATCCCTCATGTGGAACCATTAAAGGCAACATAAAGTGATGTAATTGCACATTGTATCTATTCATTTAATGGCTCAATAAATGTTTCTTTACACTGAATGGTGGTGAATATTAAACCCCTTGTATGTCAAAAAAATTCATGAGTGTATTTCGTGTGTTATCAAGTCATTAAAACAGTAACATTTTCAGAAGTGAGACCAAGGACCTGACAGTTCTGACCTAACATTGCGTCAGATTTCCTGTCTAAAAGGAGCTAAACAAAATATTGGACCAATATAAAGAAATGCAGATGAGTCCCCCCCTGTGATCTTACTTGGTACAGTCCTTGAAGAGCTCTTTGCAGGCCTCCTGTTGCAGCCTCTCGTTGCACTGAGCCATCATGGCGTCTTCCACCTCAGGCACATGGTCCTCCGACTGCACCGCAAAGAACACATTAAGTCCAGGTAAACACCGTGACTCAACCCCTGACAGCACACTCACAGAGGAAAGCTGGATAAACTGGGTCTACGATGGTGCGGAATAGATTATTATCTTCGTCACTCTGCAGGCCCCGACTTGTATGCACGCAGATAAAAACAGAAGCAGGGGAAAAACTGAAGCAGAGATAGACTAACTTTATCAGGAAATACAAGGGGAATCATGGGAGTGCAGACACTTACAATAATATGAATTACTGTGCATTTGCTTTAAGGTGTTCAAATTACAGTTCCTTTTTAACTCTGCTAAGGGGCTTATGTTGTCTCAGTTTGTTTGTTTGTCTGTTTCTCAGAGGATTAGGTCATAACAACTGACCATGATAATTGGTGTAATGCTGCGGTGCGTTCACACCGGACGCGATGCGAATATTCGCTTCGCTCTAATCGCTCCTATCGCATCGTTCTAAACGCTAGAGTTTCACCGCGGCTGTCAGCTGTGTTTACTCGCTTCATTCAAACAAGACGCGCTGGCTCGGGGGCTACAACTACAACAAAATGAACATATTTTACCGTGATTAAATTGTAAAACACGTTTCTAAATGATGCCGAAGTAACAACATACTGATATCGGTTAGTAAAAACCAGGAATTATTGCTTTGACAAGTCTGCAGACAAGACGGCAGGCGAAAAACCTTTTAAAATGCGTGTTTTCTGAATGAAGATCGGGTCGACCAGGCTAAGCTAACGTTGTATATGCTCCGTCCACACTCATAACAACCGCCTACAGACATAAATAAACCAGCGACTGTATTCGCCATGACACAGACAGTCTGTGGTTTGTACTTGTTTAACTTTTGTCCAGTTTCTGAACAGATATGAGGAGCTGTGAGCTCTGTGTGCTAACTGCTAACAGCTAATGTTTTCTGGTTGAACGTCAGTTACGGCAGGCTGAGATCCTCACCGCTGATTGGCTACCGTGAGATCGCGTCACGCAAATATGACGCTGGAGTTGAACAAATTGAACTCGAGCGTTTGTCGCGGCCCCCTTCAATCGCGCCGCTTCATGCTCGCCGTCGGAGCGAATTCGCGTCTGTCCGCGTCTCTGCATTGACTTTACATGTAATCGCGCCGCCCCCAAACATCGCATCGCGTCCGGTGTGAACGCAGCATAAGGCTGTAGAATACTTTCTAGTTTAAATATCAAGGCAATATAACTGTTATGTCAAAGTGTGCAGAATTTCAGATTTTCATATAGAAGCCAGGGCTGCCCAGAAAGTTAGAAATCAATCTAAATTTGTCCTGACTATTTATCATGTCACACCAATAATTTAAAGTATACACAGTTGGTATTGAATGGCTATCCCCAGATAAACATAGACATTGACAGAGGTCCTTTAAAGCAGCATCTACCTTTGGGTTGAAGTATTTGTCGACTAGTTCCAGACCGGACTCCTTCCTCTTCTCATCTGGAGTCACCTCGTACTCCGCCTGAAGGGAAAAACAGTGAGGCTAAATGAGTGGAGAGGCTAGAGGTGATCGTCAGCTCCTTCCTAATCCCCCCACAGTTACTCAGATCTGCAGTTTTACATCACCTGTGGATGTCGTCCAAATGTACCCATGGTGATATTGGTTAAAAACAATAGGAATCTGAATTTTGACTGAAATCAATTTACAAAAGGTATAGGGATACTTGAATTATTGAAGTTGCAGTTAACATACATGTCTGTCCAAAATGTTATCAATCTATCATTTTATATTGTTACACATTTCTGAAAAATTGTCACAATTAGCGTATGATTTCTTCAGATAAGGCTTAACATGTTTTCGTGATGTCACAAACCTTTGACGTTTGTCCACCAAAATCGTATCAGTTTAAATGGATTTTCTTTAACCAAATGTAAAACTATTCCCTTTTAAGGATTTAGTTCAGTTGACAAAAATTGGACAGACGAGAGGTCAGAGTGACCTTGACCTTTGACCCTCACAATCTATTCAGTTCATCTTCGAGTCTGATTGGATGTGTGTGCCAAATTAAAGAAATGCAACCCAAAAAAACATAATGCCTCGAGCATCAGCTGTTGCCGCACAGAGGCATACAAAAAGTCAATTACATGCTCTGTTAGTATTTATTTATTTTTAATTCGATTAGACTATTGGACATTTTCTACAATAATGGTGCTATCAGATCGTACCATCATTATAATGTCCTGACAGTCAATGAAGGATCAAATTGAATGATTGCTCAGCTGTGCTTCCAGCTCCCTGTGTCTCCAATGAAGACCTTTCCTTCAGTAAACCCCATTTAAGGTTTAATTGAAGTATAGCGAGGCCTGTTCCACACCCTGCAGTACATGGCCTGATTGTACTCCCCCTCACATCCCCCATCCCTCTGAATGACTTGTTGCAGTAAAGTGATCCTGACTGGAAAACTACAAAGTGCTTCCTCTGCCCTCTCACAGCGAGAGCCTGTAAACTAATGCTAAGTGACAGTGGAGACGGTTCAAATCTCATTTTCCCTCTCCATCTCGTCCTCGTTCTCAGGGAAGAGACGGGAAGCGGTCGAGGGGTAAAAGAGAACATAATTGCTCCGTATGTGAGTCGTATCCGCTGGATGTCTGAAAGCTGTAAAGCTAAATCAGCTGGTCAGTCAGACTGGAGCCGTGTTGCCATTTTCATTGACAGACTGAGGGATAGACGAGGTCTTCATCAACCTCCACCAATTACTGTATTGACTGATGAACCAACGGGACATCATTTCACACATCAGAGACACAAAGACAACCTCCAGTGAACACTTTGCTGACCTGGATTTGATCTGATCTGAACTACTTGAATGATAATATGAGTTTTAATAATAAATAATAATGTTTCATTAGTATTTGAAGCTCAAAATGAATTCAAAGCTTTGACTTTGCTAGCAGAGATTATCAAGCTTTGGTGTTTTCTGTCATAATATAAGACGATATAATGTTTCAGGATTTAAGGGTCACATTCTATGCAAAATCCACTTTTTTATGTCTTTTATAACATGTGTCCCCTCTGTGTAAAGAGATTCGGAAGGTTTCAGGAAAAAAGATTCGCTCACTTTTTGTCCTGATCCATTTATATAAAAACCTGTCTGAAAATGAGCTGATTCGATTTTGGCCACTTTATGATGTCATAACGATTTTTTTGGCTTGTGTAACCATTAGCCAATAACCAACCAAGGTAACCCCCCCCCACCTTATCACCTGAATCTCCTCCTAGAGCACCATTGTGTTCTTTTTAACCACATATCTCACAGAGGGGCATTGGGAGTGGCACCTTATTTTCATCTGAAGTAAAAGACAGAGAATCAGCACTTTTGAAACAGGGCTGAAACAGAGGGGATTATGGGATGCTACAATTCACGATCTGTTCTGTATTTAGAGCCAAACACTTCAGAGACATGTTTTGTATATATCTGAGACCTATAATATATTGATGAAAAACAGTATAATAGGGGACCTTTAATGTATGACCAAGAAGGAATGCATGTGTTCAGAGAAAGCTGAACCAATGTTATGTATTCTCCTACAGAGAGTATTGCGTTATGGGTTGTTTGTAGCATTAATGCTGCTAGGCTAGCACGTTTTTTCTTCAGCGCTTTAACGTGTTTCTTTAATAAGGTATTTGAAAAAATCCCAGGGCCGCAGTCTCTGCATGTTATGGCTTGGCTCAACACAATCCCCATGCTTCTTTTTTTCTTTTTATTAGCAATACTTATAAATAATAGTACCTGGCACTTGGAATTTTTCACCTCAGGCTGAGATCCCAAGCGAGCTAAGCCGATACTAGAAAGGTGGAGTTGAAACACTATGTGCCACTTATCAGTCCGAAATAATCCCCACAATCACGCGGACAACCTGCAAAACCTGCTATTTTCGAATCCATCATTAATAAAAATCACTTTTTTCTTTAAATGTAAACGATTTAAAATGTCCCTACTGCAGAAACAGTTGTTTAATTAATGGCTTCAGGAAGGACTACCTTCTGCTTGGATTAACAGAAACCTCCCAAAAACCTTTCCAGAAGGACATCAAGTGCTTTCTATCCTCAAAATGCGTGTTTTTCCAAAAAACATCTGGTAGAAAACAGGGGGTTTCAGATACATTTTGGATGGACCCCAGAGCCTAATGGTATTTACGGTCCCATGACATTTTGCGTAAGACCACCTGCAGGTCAAGGTCTTATTCAGTAAAGTATCTCTACATCTGCTGGATGGTTTGGTGCAAAACTTGGTACAGACATTTATGGTTCCCAGAAAATGTATCCTAAGAATTTTGCTCATCCTCTGACCTTTCCCCAAAGCCACCATGAGGTTCACATTTCAAGGTGAATTTCAATAAATTCATTGATTTTCTGCTCTTTCCCCCTAGCTCCATCATCAGAGGCCTGGGGGGTATACTACGAATCTAGTTCAACATATCCTGGATATGTTTTGAGTTATCCGGTTGACTAAATCCAAAAAAAACCCGCTCTCGCTAAACGGTCCTACGACGCTGGCTATCAACTCGATCGCTCAAGCCAGCCGTGTCCTATCTAGTTAGGTGCGCGTTCACATAAAAGGGGTGGTATTTGGAGTGTTCGACCAATCACAAACATGGACAAGCCGTGTACTGACAGCGCAGCGCGTCATATATTTCCTGAATGAAAAGTCAACTATAATATTAGACAAATATGAAGACGTTAAACTTTAAACATCCATGACTTAAACACTTTATCCAGGATAAAAGCCACATAGTTGCAGCTGCAAGGTGAATACTGCTGGTAAAAGAAAAAGTGTTTGAACAGTTTTATGATATCACTGCTGCCCCGTCTAAGACACGAGTGGATCTGACTTTAATTACATTTGACTCGAGTGTTTCGTCAACTTAATGTGTTGCTTAAAATAATACTTCTGCATACAGTATGTGACACTGTGAGTGTTGCACACCAGATACGCTCAAGAAGCTGACTCAGATAAGGAAATATATGATACACTATGATGTGATATCATGTGATATGAATGATAATGGGACACATCGCCGTCTGCACTCACAGTGCCGCGGACTGTAGGCTACGTAATGTTACTTTGATCCGGTTACTTATGTTGTGGCAGATATTTAAGTAAGCTTTCTTAACGCTAATGTTATAATAGCCAGATTGCTCTGAAGATGGGAGGTGATATTCTATTCATTTTCACGTTCACACAGTCGGTGATTTTGGCCGGCCGTCTTTCCTGCAACGGCAGTTTAAACTGTATTTCCTTTCTCCTCCTGTCATATGAATTGATCGCTTTAAACTCCGCACACTGAGCTCTGATTGGTCAGCAGGCAGTGCTTTTATCCTGGAACCTATCCTGCTCCGGAGGCTAGCCGTTCAGAATAAGTTATCTAGCCCGCTAAAAAGTGAACCAGCTTCGTAGGACCGGAAACCCCTGAAGTTAGCTTGCTAAACAAAAATCTTGATTCGTAGTATACCCCCCTGTACTACGAAGCCGGATTTTCGCTTAGCAGGCTGACTTCAGGGAAAACTCGGGCTTTCCGGTCCTACGACGCTGGTTCTCTTTTTAGCGGGCTAGATCTCCATGGTAACTTATGCTGAGCGGCTAACCTCCTCGGGAGGAGGTTAGGTTGCAGGCTAAGAGATCAACTCAGTAAAAGCACCGCCTGCTGACCAATTAGAGCTCCGTGTGCGGAGTTTAAAGCTATCAAGTCATATTACAGGATAGAGGAAATACAGAAAAACTGCCGTTGCAGGAAAGACGGCCGGCAAAAATCAACTGACTGTGTGAACGTGAAAATTAATAGAATATCCCCTCCCATCTTCAGAGCAATCTGACTATTATAACATTAGCGTTAAGAAAGCTTACTTAAATATCTGCCACGACATAAGTAACCGGATCAGAGTAACATTAAGTACAGTCCGCGGCACTGTGAGTGCAGACGTCGATGTGTCCCATTATCATTCATATCATATCACATCATAATGTATCATATATTTCCTTATCTGAGTCAGCTTCTTGAGCCGTATCTGGCCGTGCAACACTCACAGTGTCACATACTGTATGCAGAAGTATTATTTTAAGCAACACATTAAGTTGACGAAACACTCGAGTCAAATTCTCCTAATTAAAGTCAGATCCACTCGTGTCTTGGACGGGGCAGTGATTTCATAAACCTGTTAATGTACGCATTCAAACACTTTTTCTTTTACCAGCTGTATTCACCTTGCAGGTGCAGCTATGTGGCTTTTATCCTGGATAAAGTGTTTAAGTCATGGATGTTTAAAGTTTAACTTCTTCATATTTGACTAATATTAAAGTTCACTTTTCATTCAGGAAGTATGACTCGCTGCGCTGTCAGTACGCTTGTCCATGTTTGTGATTGGTCGAATGCTCCAAATACCACCCCTTTCATGTGAACGCGCACCTAACTAGATTGGACACGGCTGGCTTGAGCGATCCACTTGATAACCAGCGTCGTAGTACAGTTTATATTTAAATGATACATGAACACTGGGGGCTTGAATGTGTGAAGAGAAGAAAAGAAAGTAAAAAGGCTTGGAATATTTGAACTGCAAACTATTGAACTAACTTGATGGCGAATGATCTGTCGCCATGGCAACAGTATTTGATGACACCCCATAATACGCTTAGATATGTTGATGGCTGCATCGTTACCAAACCTGTTTAGTTTTGGGCTGTTTGGAGCATTTTCACTGAAGTTATGAGAAAACCGTGTTTCAAGGCGAGCATTGTGTTGCCATGTCAATCTCAAAACTGTCTCGTAGATGTCTTCACGGCTGGACTGTTAGCACACATGTGAAGTTTTAGCACTTTTTGACAATTTTCATAGGAGTTATAGCAATATCGTGTTTTATGGCAACGGCATATGGTGAGATTTCAGATTTGGCGTAGAGCTGTTGAGGCATGGACTGGTGATATACAAGTGAAGATTGGGGGACGAGAGAGAGAGAGAGAGAGAGAGAGAGAGAGAGAGAGAGAGAGAGAGAGAGAGAGAGAGAGAGAGTTAGAACTGACTGCTATCAGTTGGAGTGAGTGATGACATCATCGTGTTCCATTACACAGGTGTTTATAGTTGAGCTAACGAGAAATCAAATCTGAAGAAAACCTCTTTAACAAGGTCTGAACAATGTTTAATATCTCTAAAAGTAAGAATCAGATTTAAAAGTTGTGTTACACGAATAATGTCAGAAAGATGTGTAACATTTTAAAGTTGGAATGAGGTTTCTGAGTGATAGTATGAATGAACAGTTAGCAGTTGAAGTCGCATGAAGATTTGTTGAAGTCTGAAGAATATCTCCATTGACTTCAATGGTTAAACATTTGATGAATTATGGGATGTATCTCTGGAATTATGAAAGTTATGAATGAGAAAAGTAATAGCCTGCGATTCCCGACCGAGCTGAACGCTTTGATGTTTGAACGGAGTCTCTGCGATGTTGAATGTGGGAGGAGAAGAGGGCCAAAATAAGTCGGCGGAATAATAATAATAAACTTTTTGTCCGTAGCATAATATATAGTGGGAATGCTGTATCAGCATTAGGATAAACATTCAAAAAATAAGTACAACTACCTTGAGTCTGCCCATAAGAGTGAACGAGGAAACCAAGACATTATTTATCATCTGCACATAAAAAAAGAATACATTTTCACACACACACACACACACACACACACACACACACACACACACACACACACACACACACACACACACACACACACACACACACACACACACACACACACACACACACACACACACACACACACACACACACACACACACACACACACACACACACACACACATACACACACACACACACACACACACACACACACACACACACACACACACACACAGGAATAAAACAAGAGTGTGACTGAAACATTCCCCAAGTGAGCAGAGCGAGCAGCGAGCTGTTCACTGTGACAGAGGAGGTCAAGTGTGTGTGTGTGTGTAAGAGAGGTTGACACAGTGACGCAGTTTTCTCTCCAGATGTCAAGAGTTCCTGTATTTCATTAAACAGATATTAAACTTCCTCCTCCTCCTCCTCACTCTAAACAAAGTGTGTTGGAGGCGTTTAAGGATAATTACACTACCTACATGAGAACCAGCTCACCAGCTAACAGTGCTTTAAAGGGTCAGTTCACCCAATTCCCAAACAAACATATTTCCGTACTCACCTGCATGGAAAAGTATCTACCCATGCAAATAGATAGCATTTTATGTGTGTGGATTTTACATATCTGTCTGCCTCCAACACATTGAGAGATTAATTAAATTGATTGTAAAAGCTTTTAATTAAAAGAAAAGTGTCCTAATTATCTGGATCTCCAGAATCTACAGAACGTGCTTTGATAGGAAGATTTATGATCAACAGATCAGTCATGTTTAAAATAAACACTGATAAGAGACTTCATTTGTGAGTGAGAAATCTACAATTAAAAATACAAATCCTTGTGAATATTTTTATATTCATTTCTTGCTGATCTTTTTGATTTCGGAAACTATTTTTAACCATAAGGAGGTTTGCTGGCTTTTAGTGTGTTATAATTATATTATTTGGATATTCATTCATAATATGTCTAGTATGTACTAGTATTCAAATCTTAACGACGCCAGTACTGCAGATGAACAATGAAAAGGGTTGACCTTAAGGATGTTATTCTACCTTGTTTTGTATGTTTTTTTTACTTTTTAATTCATGAAACTTGTCATGTGCCATTGTTTATCCGCCCCTTACCCTCATCTTCATTTAACATATTTTTTATTTGAGCCTTGCTTCCCCCCTTCTCACCACAGCGTAAAAACTGAGGATGATTTTGAGGTGGGAAGAATAGGAGAAAACATTCACATCCCCCCTCCATTCCTTAACAGGAATTGAGGAGCGTTTCAAGGAAGAAAGAAACACAAGTCCTTGAGACCCCCTTTCTCCCCCCACACACGTGCACACATGCACACACACACACACAAGCTTCATCCCTTTTGTTTATCCACACTAGTAGTCATGGAAAAGGGCATTTGAGACAAAACTCTTAAACTCTCCAACACAAACAGGAATAAGACACACACACACACACACACACACACACACACACAGAGAGACTTCTTACCACAGCATCCAGGAACTTGACGCAGCGCCTCAGTTCAGGTCGGGTCTCGCAGAACAGTCGGAACAAAAAGCGTCCGATAGGCTGCCGCTCACAGAGGCTGCCGTAGTCCTTTTCTGCAGAGACACAGAGACAATTTTAATATAAAGACATTGTTTAATCAAAATGTGTCAAAATAAATCATGCATTCGCGCGCCTTTCCTTCAATCACCAGCATTTGTTGCAAGGTTTTATAGTGGAGGAATTAAAAAAAGGAACATTTATATTATTCCTAAGAAAAGCTGTCTATATTACTGTATAATGTCAGGCCTAAAATGAGCAGTGGCCCTACATCACACAGCAAAAACCACATACTGTATTTAATGATTGATCCAATTATTTAGTTGAAATTTGCACAGGCACAATACATGAATGTGTTCTATTGATGTGATTGTACAGGAAATTGCTTTATAAAGACATTTCATTTGAAAAGGAATAAAAAAAAAAAGTGATGGCTGAAAAGATTATATAATGAACAAACATAGAAAACGCAAAAATAAACACACTTGCACAACAGAAAAACAAAGGAAAAGGCACATCAGTTTCGGCTATTCAAACGATAAATTGTAAATAAATTGTTAATTTAACAACATGTTAAAGGTGGGGTAGGTAATTTTGGAGAAACCAACTCGAGTGCGCTAAAATGTGAAAATACACAACCGGAAAAAATCTGCCACTTCCTTACAGATCCCCTCCTCCAACACACACATACGCGCACATGACCAATGAGGGCACGAGATAAGTTTGTGCACAGATGGAAGGCTGACAGGCAGGTAGGCCATCCAGTTATTTTAGCCGGGCCGGCTAAAATGATTGGTCGTGCTTTTTACAGTACTACGGCTTCCACAGATGACATTTTTTTATGGATTTTTTGTCAAAGCACTTAAGATATTCATTGCTATCGGGATGTTAAGAGCATTCCATGGAATATAACAAAAAGTGTATCTCGAGCCGGTTTCTCAAACTTACCTACCCCACCTTTAAATTCTGTTACTAGGTAGAACTGCTAGAAACTTATGACAAAGAGAGAGAGAAACCCACAACCTAATGTACAGAGTTTGAGTAATTCAGAGGTGATTTACTGATTTTTATTTTAACAGAGTAAGTAACAACGTGATCCACACAGGAAATCTGACTGAGTGAGAGGAGTGTAACAGATACAACCGTGACGCTGACACATTTAATAGTCAAATATGAACACACACAGCTGCTGTTGTTAACCAGTAACATAAATCATTCTGTGATTTGCATAGATCTGCAGTCCCATTCATGGAGGATTTTTATTAAAAGAGCAGTGGAAAAAAGTAGATGGAAGTGCAGCAGGTGAAAGTGAGAAAAACAACCAAGAGGAAAGATTTGAATGAGAAGAAGTTGGAGTTGTGTCCGGTAGGGGTCTTTTCTTTTTTGTTCGTTGTGCAACATATTTCTTTTACGTTTCACCATATTAAAATGTGTTGGTGAATGGATTTCATAACCACGCAACAAGCCTCAAGGAAATGTATCAATAGCTGCACAGCAGTAAGAAATACCAACTGCAGGGAAAGCAATATTCAATTAATTCCTTCCTTTCTATTTGTATTTACTCTTCTGTGTAGTAAACTGGATATCTTGATGCCTTTGGGAACTTTTCAATGTTTTCTGAATGTTTGCAAAAAATATATTGATTAAAAGGGGCCCTATTCTTTCCTGTAGTGTGTTATATAGATTTTTGTAAATGGTCTGCAAAGGCTAAAATCCCTCACTCTCCCCCCTGCCGGAAACGCCTCCATTGGACTCCTTTGTTTACTTCTGCAACATAGTGACCTCACTATGTAACACTTGTGCTTCTATTGGCTTGCGCTCCAACACAGTGTACGTGATAGGCTAAGGGGTGGGACATCTCTAAGCGGTTGACCAATGAGAGCAGACTGGGCTATAAAGAGCTTTTTGAACATTAAAGCATGGAAACATGTCACAGTAGAGACACAAAATACAAGTATGAATCTGAACATTAGCATAATAGGGCCCCTTTAATCAATAATAAAATAGATGTATTATTTAAAGTAGATTTATCAAAACAATTATTAACCAATTGTAGCTGTGTTCATGGTACGACGTGCTTAAAGTAATGCTAAAGGTAACCTGGTATATGAATACTATTTTGAATGGGTTACAATTATGATTTAAAATGTTCTGGCAATCCCTGGATTAGTTTGGTAATATGACCTGTTGTTTGCACATTTCACTGAGCAGCAGGCACTTAATACATTATTATTATTATAATAGTTATTTCAATGATGATTAGTAGCAGACCTTACTTTACGGGGAGGTTTTTAGATAGATACAGTATCTGGGGCTGTTTGAGTTCATCTGCCCATCTGAGCCTCGGGACAAAAACAACACCAAGGAAATGTTGATTTGCATCTGTGACTCATGTGGATGCAAAACAACGCAGGAAGGTTCATGAACAAACAAATGTGTTCAGGGATTTGTGATCCAACAAAGAGCAGGGAGGTCAGTGTATCGTTAAGAGAGGAGCGGACAGAAAAAAGGCGGAATGATCTGCAAGTCAAAGCCTTTTCGTCTGCTTTAACTAACATCACAAACAGAGTCTTTTGCACAATGATTAAAGGCAAGTCAAAACTCGAAGAAGAGAAGAAAAACTCCACAACAACGGGATTATAAACTAACAAATGACTGTGTTGCTGCTTTTTGTCTCTACTGTATCTCTATATACAACTGCTAGCACCTAAGCTAAACATGCTAATCAAAGAGAATTCTGGTTTGGGCTTTGCGGCGAGGAGAGGCTGTTTGGTATTTTTTATTTTAAACTTGAAAATATTTACGTGTACTCTGCGGAGTTGACTTCTAGACAAACATCGTTCTGTTTACATTTAGTGTCTCGCACTAAAACACATCCCATGTCTCAAGTTAATTTCCTCTCTCAGTAAATATTTGCAACATGTACATTTGCAACGCCACTTTTTGAATACATTTAAACCTGCATTGTTTACATTAACGTGTTTTGCCTCCATTATTTGTACTGCTTCATTCTTCTTTGTGTTTTTATGATTGTTTGCCCTTCATATTTTGCATTGCACCTCCTGCAGTTTGAATGTGTGTCGTGTCACTCCGAGTGCTCTTGACAAACAAGTAAATCATAATGCATTAAAATCCTCATCAGGACAATACAAGTACTTCTCTATAAAGCTAAAAGTCAAAAGGGTATTTTCTGTTTTTGCTGGAGCTTGTTCCTCTGAAGTTTAAAATGCACTTGTTCTTATTTTTTTATTGACATGAATTGATGAGCTTTTCATTTGTTTCTAAAAACAATTGCAGACCTTATAAAGTGACCTGGCTTACTACTAACATCGGGTGTAAAAGAGACGTTAATGCATTTTTAGTAGTTGTCAAAATATGTCAGCAGTTGGTTTAGACATCATGAATAAAGTTTGTTCAATGCCATCATTGTTACATCTTAAAGAAACAGTAGCAAGAACTTGATTTATGGATCAAATGCTTTAAAGAAAAAAATCTAATAAATGGCTACAATTACTGGTTATAAATTGGAATCGACAACTTTAAATGGATATTCTTACTGATTGAAAAAAAGATTAGATGTCAAAGTCTTTGCTAGTTGGGGGACTTTTAAGAGATTGTTAAATATGGTTAAGATAAAACAAAAGCGGAGATATACTGACTTTCAGTCGAGGTCAAACACACTTAATAGCATCATATGGTCACACCCTCCGTAGATGGTACAGTAAATCAGCACAACTTGGGTGGAGTGCCTCTTTGAATTGTTTGACATTGTATGTGTTCTTATCAGTTAGCTGAGTCACTTCCAATCATTGACTCAGGGATTGATGGAAACTGATGCTCTGCTTTATGAGTTCTTTCTGCTCTACTTATTGCGCCTCTGCTTCGCTGCTATGTCCTCCTTGCTGTCCTCTGTTCGACTCTGATTATCTCTTGTCTCTGCCATATTACACTTTCTAGTCATGCTGCAAAGTGAACAGAGCAGGACAGTGTGAAGTAAATGGGAGCCGAAGGCAAAAAGACCAATAAAGATAATTGCTGGAAACATTTTTAGAGACCGGATGTCCCAGGAGAGTAGAGTGGGATATCTAAAAGGCAATCTGGTTATTCCATGGTTTTAATAATTAACATTTCTCATTGAAAGTAAACACAATGCCTGTTTACATACATTACAACCGAACCCATTATATCCTATGGAAAACCGTAAAAATGTGCTTCATGAAGCTGCTTGGCTACTCATGTGTGAAATGGGACATCCCCCAGTTCTGGGAATTTTTCATTATGTGGCCGTGGATCACTGGACTTTCTCTATAGATCACTGGAGGTGTGATGTACATGAAAGGAGTGCAGGACTGTACAGAACATGGCGTACATCAACACACAGAGAGCGCACACAAAGAGGCCTCTGTCGGGCCTCAAGGTCCCCGCACAGAATTTATGATGCCACAGGTTTCAGACCGGATCAAGGTCTTAGCACCTCGCCTCTTATCTCTTTATAGAATAAAGTAAGGCAGGAGTAAAAAAGCTGACATTATGCCGTGGATTCCCACTATTAGCTCCGTACTCTAAAGGGTTGCTGTGTTGTTGTTCTTTGCGCGATCATTTACCATCACTTTAGTTTGGACTAAAATATCTCAACAACTATTAAATTGATTACCATGACATTTTGTACTGATTTTTATGGTGGTTTCCAGGAAATACGAACGGATATTAGTACATGTAGCTTAAAGCACTGCAGTGCCTAAAGCAACACATGGTTATAAACCCAATAAATGTGTCCTGAAGTTCCTGAAAAATCCATGCGGAAAAAACGTGGTCATATGTCATGTCTGTGACGTTTGAATTTTCCAGCCACATTTATTTTGATAGATTCCTTGAATTGCATGCAAATCCCCAAAACTGAACAATTATTACTGGATTCGGCTGTTATCAGTTGCTTCAAAAATATAGACAAATGTAATATATATTTGCATCTTGACATGTAGCTATCATGTTTTATTCAAGGGGGTTCAAATATGGTGGGAACTTATTAAATCCTAGTGCTTCGTTGACTAGCAAT